ACAAACACCATCCAAATCCGGGAGCAATGACGTCACCAATCGCCTAGGGACGCATGTCGTTCGGTACCTTCCAGACCTCGCTGTTTTCGCGAGACCCCATTATGCGCTTCTTAGATGTTACATACATGGGGAGTTTAACTGACCTATATGGTCACCCCCTTCACTATATCCTTTGAAGTTGAATCAATCCCAGAAAACATGGAGAAAGATCACTTCTTGGAAATAGCTTAACAGTAAAACCCTTTTGACCTTTACTAAGCTAGAGTGTTACTAGCAACCAACATCTAGAGTTGAAGCTCCTACTATGGTCCTCAATTTATCACCCCTGATCCATCCGAACCTACTAGCCCTAAATTTGGACTCTTCTTGCCTGGCCCTCCCTGGCTTCCGTAGATATTCCACCTACTCTAAACCCCACGTATAAAACTGCCCCAATTTGTGTTGCAGGCCTTTTCCAATGATACTGCGAACCCGAGCAGTCGTAGTGAGCTCATACATGCACCAAACTGTAATCTAGGTGCCAAGCAGTTTAAGCCAGGTATGCTAGCTAGGTACCTCTTTGTTTGTGGTCTAGCTACATATATTATGACTCTACGTAGTTAGCTATCTTCGTTGTGCCTTGTACATGTAAGGGTATTACAGAATAGCTTCCTTTAGTTTTTCCCCCTTTGAATGTTGGGAGGAAACAAATACTATGTAAAGACCCGTACCAGAATTGTAGTCTGGTCGTTACCTCGGCAGTCTATCTGCCTGAGCCCTCACCTCCTTTACCTTGGCAGTCTATCCGCCTGAGCCCTCTACCCCTTTTTTGGTATTTCCTATTTCCTATTTCCTGTTCCGGTGAAGCCAAAATATAGGGATAGAGATAGACGTAAGCTAACAAAACTGGAAATTGAAGGTTCTACAAATTTAGGAGTAGGAATAAATCATGATTATTCAAGGTTAGTGCACTCAACACAATAAGCCAGCAGAAGCTACAAAAGTTACAGGTACATACGGAAGTGACAGCTGTAAAATTATGGTTAGCGGGCGGCAACACACGACGAAGTCGGGTGTTGTCGCCAGGGCTAGCTTAAATAAAAAAGAAGGTTATAATGAGGGAATGATACCGGGCGGCAACACACGACGAAGTCTGGTGTTGTCGCCAGGGCTACCTTGAAAGAACGTTGCAATCTCAAACATGATCCTCCTTCTTCTATTGTCTTTCTGCCGAGGTATCGCAGCTCCCACTGACTTAAAATCGCAGGCTTTCAAGGATTGCGAGACCTATCGAACTTTATTGGATTCTTCGATTCTGATTCTTCGATTCGATTGTTATTGAAGATTCGATTCGATTCACGTTACGTGGCCATTGACCGATTTCTTCCACGCTTCCACGCTTCCACGCTTCCACGGAGAACTCGAAAGTCAGCAGAATGGCCGGCCATGCAAAGACTTGGAGATTTTGTTTCTTTCAACGACCGATTCGGAGCTCTTCCCTGAACTGCAACTTAGTCCATGGGATTGCTCTTCTATAGTACCGGTATCCCACAACAAACACTGCCTCAATCTTTGGTTCTTGCGGTGAGAAACCTTCGAACTCCAGGACTTGCTCGTTGGATACGATAGGAAAGCAAATATCGCTCAACATCGTTGCTGCACATTTATCAATCTGAGATCAAACATTCCATTCTTATTGACACGCCCCAAATTTGCTATTGCTACAAGCATCAACCATGGTAGGCATCGCGCCAGTGAATTATATCACTTGATGGTTCGTTCTTGGTCATTCGCTCACACCTATCTTTGTCGCCCTCTGTTTCGAACAATCCATGTCAACGTAGGTCTGCAAAGGATGTGGTTCCTCGGAACAGCTTCTTCCTGTAGGATTCTGTTCGGCTTGTCTTCAAAAAATGATATACAGCCATGCAGAGGGCGCGAGCCAAGGCAAGAAAGTAGAGACATCGGTGGTTGACACCAGTTGGGTGCTGAAAGGGGCGTTTCCATCTGGAGCAAGAACAGGCAAGACTGTTCGGAAAGTATCAGTGGACAAAGACCTTGAAATGCGTCTCAAGCCCTACCAGAAAGAAGGTGTTGAATTTATCTGGAGGAACTGTTTCCTTGACAGCAACTTTTGCCTGGATGGCGATGAATCCCTTATCGGGTAAGTCCTCCTCATTGAATCGCAGGCATGGGACACCTTCATCGATCTTTCTCTCACAAATGTGACTTTCATTGACCATAATGCACCAGAGGCTGCCTTTTGGCTCACTACATGGGTCTAGGTAAGTGTTTTTGATACAGACGTGACCTGCACGGCATTTATTGATCATTGTCACTGCTAGCAAAGCGCTTACGACGTGCCCTTACTCCGTCTTAGGGAAGAGTCTTACTACAATTGCTCTGCTGCATACTGCACTGACTTCAACGTCATTGGTATCAAATGTCACCAAAAAGCCACTGTTTCATACAGTGCTCCTTATTGCTCCAGCCAACACTTTGACCAACTGGGAAAATGAGGTTGAAAAGTGGACTGGAAAGTTGGAGACACCTCTCAGGATCATGAACCTTGGAAAAGTCACAGACGCGCACTACCGGAAAGCAGAAATCCAAAAGTGGAAGCGTGATGGAGGCCTGCTGGTAATGAGTGAAATGCTCTTCCTGAAGGTTGCCAATGACATACTGAAGTCGGCACAACCAGATATCTTGGTGCTGGACGAAGCCCACACGATGTTGAAGTCGTCTGCAAACAAAGGATTCAAGAAACTCCAGGAGCTTCATACAATGCGAAGGATCCTTTTGACAGGAACCCCTCTCGAGAGACCCTCAAACGCACGCGATGTAATACATGTAATACGTACAATGCGTATTCTACGTATTCCCGTATAATACGTATTACGTATTCCCGTATAATACGTATTACACGTATTACACGTATTACACGGTCGCCAGCCAGCCTCCGTGACCGTTCGAATGACCATTCGCAAAATGGCTTCAACACCAATCTCCACCAATCTCACCACAAGAACCACCATCCACCATGACAACAACCTCTCTTCTCTTGTTTGTTTGAAGGATACAGAGGTTTCTGTTGTTATTTGAAGATAGTACCATCATTGTGGGTAAGTAGGCAATGTGGTATGGCTTTGTTGAAGCCAAGAAGACTGTTTCTGTGGAAAGATAGAAGGATTTCTCTCCATTCAACTCCTTCTTCATTCTCCTGCCCCCACTCTCTTTATCAGGCTTTGTCAAGCTCACAGGACCATTCTCTTTGCATTCATATACTTCTGAAGGCTCACTGACGAAGCCTGTGGAAGATCTGGCCTTGAATTCTCTCATTGTCAACCACTTTCTGTAGGGACCAGTACTGAACCCATGTAAGTACCTCATCAGCGCGCAACACGTGTTATCGTTACGCGTGTAACACGTGTTTATGCATGTAATGTGTATTATATTATCACCCGTGTTATACGCGTAACAGGTGTAACATGTATATGCATATCACCCGTGTTATACGTATCACCTGTATTATATGTATTACCTGTATTATGCGTATTACCTGTATTATACGTATTACCCGTGTTCGTTGTCTCACCTATTTTTGTTTTCTTGTTTAGTATTTTCGTTTAGGCATCATGGTGGATTCTGACGATGAATCTGGTCGCAAGACGATCACGGGGCAAACGAGAATGATGCAGAAGAGACGAAGGCTGAGGAATTTGAGGAGGGGATTCCCTTTGGCCCTGACAATCCTGGTCCTTTTTTCCCCGAACAAATCACTCCCCGCAACGTTGTTACATGTATTCAAGAAGCCATTCCGATGACCGCGAAGCGCCGAAACGAAGATGGATCCATCACCACGCATCCTATCTACCATCCTGGACTGTCAGCATTTAGTCACCAATGCTTTGAGCCTGGTGTTGCACAGAGTAGTGCCGAAAGTGCTAACTCCTTCAAAGTCCGAAAGGTTGTCCTAGCATGTACAATCATTCTAGACCTCCAAACGAAGATGGATCGGTGGGAGGTGGAACTTCTTCAAGAAAGGACCTCTGTGAAAGGCGATATGATGGTATCGCAGGTAATGTTGCTGCAGAGATAGCTGCAGAAGCCGAAGCACAACGACGTCAGAGGGAAATGGATGAAGCTGAGGATGCCGAAGCCAGAACTTACACTTTTCTTGGACTCGACCCCAACAATCCTGAGCACAGGGCACAAGTTGAAGGTCTCAGGGCTCTTGCAGCAGAACCACTGGAATATCCACTTTGAAGCACATGGGAACAATGCCCATGTGTGGCTGAAAGACTGCCCATCGGCAGCTATCCAGACTCTATGTGCAATTCCCTCTTTTCGGAGTTTGTTTTGTAGGTGAATATCACCAGACTTGAACTCGGGATACATTTGGAACAATCTCTGGGAACTTTCACCCGTCAGGCAAGTGCAAGCAAAATCATTCCAGAACCTGTGATGGATAGAGCGTCTCTTACTTTGTTCGCAAGGATTCAGCACTGTCCGATTCATCTGTTAGTGATTCAGGATCAATGTTCTGAGGTGTGGCTCCCTATGTGATTGTCTGATATCGAAGAAGGCCGGAGTCATACGAGGCAAATAGGACAACGAACGATTTTGTTGGGTCGGATTGCAATCGGGCAAGTAGCCTGTCTGCAGCTGTCGCCCCCTGAGCGGTACTTGAGAGATGGTACCGTCTGGCTTCACACAAAGACAAGACAACTCCTTGATGCAAACTCTTCCTTAGAGATTCGATTTGTTTCGAAGTTAGAGATGAGCCTGTCCGTTCATAAAGTAAAGTCTTAACAACACTTGGCGAGAGTGGTTCTTTAGGCATTGTTCGCTAGTGTAACGGCTTCTGTGCCAAGATGAGTACATTAACACTTTCACTTGTGCCTCTTCTATTGTACATGGCCACGATGAAGCTTGTGCCTGTCTGGAACTTGGGTAGATACCATCGTCTGTGTTCCTGGCTATATAGACATTGAAAGAGAATGGACTTTGACACCCTCCCCCTCAACAAGGAAGCTGAGTCTGGTGGTTTTGTTGCTGTCCTTTTGGGACCTTTGTTTTAAAAACGACTCCTTGGACAACATATGGTAATGTGATTCCGCCTCTTATAAATCCCTTGTTTTTGATGCGAATCAGCAGTCTTGCAAGGAAGTAAAAGTATGGCATCAAAACTCTTTAATATGCGCCGATCACAAGATTGATACATCGAAGGTAGCCAATACACCGTCGATTTCTCCATTCGATAATATCGAACCCCAGAGTATCCATAATGTTTATCTCCCTTGGCGTATCATCAGCTAGTGAGGTTGCTACATTCAAATGATGGAAGCAGGAGTCCATTCTTATCATTGATATTGTATCTAGCAACATGAGAGAGTTCAGATAGGTAAGAGTCCATTTACTTGATAAGCTGTCAGGTATTATGGCCTGCAACAGTGCATCTTCCTCTCTGCCTCCCAAACACCTGCAAAACACCTCGGCAAAAAAACTTAGCAAAAAATCGTCGCTTGTATTATACGTAAAAACGTAAACACATAATACATGTAATACGTCAAATACGTAGAACACATAATACATGTAATACGTATAATATTGTTCCACTTGTGTTATCTGTGTTTGTTTAATACATATTAAAAATGTTATATGTGTAATACGTATAATCTGTAGAATACATAGTGAAAATGTTATACGTATAATACAACCGCGTGCGTTTCAGGGGCTCTCTTACAAAACAATGTCACTGAGTATTTCCGCATGGTCCAATTCATCCGGCCTGGCATAGTTGGTGTCAAGTCAGATCATGAGTTTGAGAAGCGTTTTCGGTAAGTAGGATTGATGGAAAGGACATGCCCATAGCTATGATTGAATGTGCTTACAGTGGTTACCGCCATACTCCAAACCAGCAAGCCAATAGAACGAGGCTTGCCATGTGACGCCTCCAACCATGACAAGCTGGTCTCTCTGGAGAAACAGGTCATGCTCAAAAAGAAACTGGAACCATACGTGGATCGAAAGGATGCATCTGTCCTTCGCAAGCAGTTACCGCCAATCTATGACAACCTTTTCTATCTTCAGCAAAGCTGCATACAATCACGTCTCATAAAGCTATATGAAAAGCAGCAAAACAGCGGCGGGACCAAGAACTTTTTTACGTACGTGTCAAATGCAGCCGACAAAGGCCTTGTTGGTTGTTCACATTGTTAATCTGGTTGTTGTGTTGGCAATTAGGATGTATGCTTCTATTGCTCCAGCGCTAAATTATCCAGGTTGCCTGAAGCTAATCAAGGGTTGCCGCGGTAAAGCGCTGACATGGAAGGAATCCATGGACAAGGGTGATCCATCATGGTTGGGTGGGCTTAAACCATCCGAGTTCAAAGGAATGCATGAAGCCAGGAATAGCCCAAAGTTAATCATGCTTGCTCATATTGTAGCCCTTGCGGTCAGAGATGGCCACAAGACATTGGTATATTCCCATGACCTCAAGACATTGGATATCATTGAGTGGTTTCTACAGCAACCTGATTGGAGCAAGCACGCCCATTCTCTGAAGAATTTGTTTTCTGAGCTGAAGCTGGGAGGATGGAAGAAGGATCAAGACTATCTCAGAATGGATGGGAGCACTAACAGTGGAAAACGTGGCTACCTTGTGGATAAGTTCAATACTGATGTGCAAGTCAAAGTCTTTGTGATATCTTCCCGGGCTGGCGGAATTGGGATCAACTTGGTGAGCTCATCTCATCTTCAACTTCCATTTCTACACCTTGTGTACCACCAAGCACTTACTTGACTGTCCTCAATTCTGCGGGATTTAGTGCTCTGCAAGTGTTGTGGTCATGCTTGACAATCACTTTAATCCTTCTATTGCCGACCAATGCATTTCCCGAGCACATCGGTTGGGTCAAGAGAAACCAGTTCACTGCTTCAGGCTAGCAATTGAAGGGACAATGGAGACAAAGATTTATGCACGATCAATCAACAAGTCTGGGGTTGCAATGCAGGTCATTGATGGAAAGTTCACTGAGAAGAGCTTCACAGCTGATGAGCTTTCTGATCTGCAGCAGTCAACTGTGAAAGCGATTTGTTCCAGATGCTTGAAGACCCGTTTCCTTCCCAGGCTCCAAATCCCTCCTGCAGAAGACGAGGACTGGTACTGCGAAATGAACTCTGACAAGAACCACAACTTATGTGAGACACCAGAAGAAAAGGAAGAAAGAAAAAACAGTCAAGCCCAAAGTCGCGCAACAGAAGACCCCTTATTGCAGCATCTATTGCATGTTATTAATTTTCATACAAGGCGCACAGAACTTGTGGTCAACCACATCCCTGTTGAGATGGTCCATGAAACTGATATTTGCTGCGAAGATGCCATAAGTGACCTGAAGAGAAACCTTGCTGGTGGACATGCCAAAGGACAGGACACAGAACCTGGCTCCAATAAGAGGGCCAGAGTGGACGTGCCAAAGCACAAGACACGCTGAACCATCAAAGGATACGAAAGAAACAGATACAGTATATAATTACCTGGCGCAATGGCAGAGGGCATTGTATGAGAGAATAATTGAGGGCATGGCTATTTTTACTCATGGGCCATGTTTAATGAAATCACTAGACCCCCCCATCCTTTAGTGGCAACTACCACCATAATAGTGTTCTGGCATCCACGAGAAATCTAATTTCATGGCACAGTGCAAGTGAAAAGCCTTATCGACACATTTGGTACAGGACTGATTCGGTGCCATGCTCCGAGCTTTCTCAAGAGAAGCTTTTCTTTCTGCGGCCATCCTCCGTTTGGTGGTGGCTAGCTAACTAGAACTAGCTCAATTGTTCCGCGGTCCTCCGGTGGTAGAGAAGGCTGCGCTGGACCGTCGCCACGGCATGGACCGTGGAACATCTCGGCTCAGCAAAGGAACTCCAAGAGCTATTGGTACGGGTACGACTGTACAGCACATTTTCTTTGAACCCCCGCAGCGATTGACTGCACGGTGCCGCCTCTTTTAAGATCTTTAGACAAAGTTGACTTCCAGAACAGCAGTTGCAGCCTTGCAATCTCCATGAATACTTTATTCAGCATCAGAGGATGCGCTTTTGTCATAAAAACCACCAGAATTTCGAGACTGGGTGATCAATGCAACCAGGTTGGGCCATAGATGCTATGGACATTGTAGACCCCACACTGGCTTCCAAACTAACAACCCTCGCTAATAGTCTAGTGCACAGGATGACCTCCAGTCTCCCCTACCCACGTGGGACGATTCTTCCCCGCTAACTTTATCATGTTTCCCGACGATACCATCATTTTCCCCTCCAGTCTTATCCTCGCTACCGGTAGTGTCACCTGATGCTTCGTCTTGCAATTGCAGCGCCCGTCGTGCCCCCCTTTTCTCCTCGTTTTTCGCAAAACTACCTTGTCGCTTTTTTCGTTGTTTCTTCTTTTGGGGTGTGACGACGGGTATAATGGCGAGCGACAGTGTCCGGTCCTTGCGTTGCCACGGCACCTCGAACTTTGTGGATCCCCGTGGCTTCCATCCCCTCCGCAAGGCTTCGGCTTCCAAATCGGGGTACCAGTAGTACTCCGAGTTGCGCGTACAAATCATTTCTCCCTCCTCATTTTTAACGACGGGTTGATAATGAAACGTCTTGTGTTGTCGTTGTAGCATTCTAAAAAAGTCTGGTGCTGGGTACGATTGGCCATTTTCCAGCATGGTTGCTGGATCCAGCTTGCGGGCAAACTTTTTCATGGCCATCTTTTTGGTAAGGACACTGGTATGATCCTTGAGACAGGCCCAGCAGGTTCGGTATTGACTGGAATGGCGAACGTACTGGGCCCAATTCAAACCCCATTCTTCGGCCACAGATGGCTGAATGCCATAGTTGACGCCACAGAACATGCAAGCACCATTAGTGTAGGATTCTTCTCCTTGTTGTGTGGTTGTCATGACATTCTTTGGAGAGGCCGGTGGCTGCAGCCGTTTCTTGAATTTTGTGTCTCGCCAATCATATTTATCTTTGATGTCTTGTCGTCTTTGCCGAGCTCGCTGTCGGGCTCGTTCGTGCCATCCATCAAAGGTTGTCTCGAAATAGTCGTCGTTGTCGTCATTTTGATTTTCACGGTCTGATCGTTGATGGTCTGAGGAATGGTGGAAGAAATCCTGCCAATAGCTGTAGTGCTCGGCATACGTGTACTCATGGTCTGATTCCTCTCGATCGTGTTCTTCTTCGCCGTCTTCCTCAGGTTGTGAGGTTGTGCTGCTGCTGCTTCTGTTGGCAGAACTCCCCGTGGTCGGACCAACACAAGAATGATCGCACAACCACTCGTAGGCATGGACCATGGCTTGAAAATCCTCTTTCACTCCTCCCTTGTCTGGATGCAAGCTAAGAGCCAACCGTTTGTACCGCTTCTTGAGTTCCGTGGGAGAAGGATTCTCGTTCCGCCCAAAGCCCATGAGCTTCAAGTTGGTCCTTCGTTTGCTCATGATGCTTCCGGTAGTCTATCGTTCCCTCCAGGCAAACTAATTTGGCAGTTCTAGCTAGTATCGAGGTGCGATCTGCATTAAAGCAGGAGGCACCAAGGATCCAAACTATCGCCAACAATGGCATCGAACAAACTTGATTGGGGTGTTGGGGTCCGCTTCCGAACTTCGTTCCGAAGGTGTCAATTGAACATTAACCTGCAAAGCTGTCTATAATGCATTTCTTTTTGTCTAAGAAGGGCCGGGCCGCTACTATCTCATTCGTAGTGCGTACAGGTATTTGAAAGCACCAAAGGACTTGAAAGCAAACCAAGGACCAAGCTAGCAAGGATTCGATTCTTAGAGCTCCGGAACGGTACCTATGAAGCTTCGAGGGTATGGATGCTTCGAGGGGTGGTTCCAGCGCGTTGGGCTGCTGCCTTATTCTTCCTGGATCAATGGGAAGAGGACCTAAAGACCTGTGGACAGCCTCAGGATTCAGCCTCGAAGTTGCATGGTTGATGTGTGAATTACAGTTGCTCGCCCGTCGGAACACAGCAAGTGCTGTGCGCAGCAGCAACATAACCCTCGGGGAACCGAGGCAGCATGATACGGATTCATTGAAACAATCACCTTCAAACTGTATCTAGATAGTAGTTCATTGATAAAACGTCTACAACAAACTCAAGCATGTTACACGAGGACCGTCTCCCTCACCTACAGCAATCCAAGAACTAGATTGCTTCAGCATTCAAAGGATCCCGATAGTGCTGCCTTTGCCAGTGCCTCTTTCAAAGCACGGTTCTCCGCCTCGAGTTGTTGGATTCTCTTGGCTTGCGCCCCCACATCATTCTTGCCCTTGTCATCCTCTGTAGCGCTTGCGCCAAACAATGCATGGGGGGCTGTCGTAGTCATCGCCACAACGTGCAAAGGATGCTCGTTGCCGTCGTCATTGCCAGATTCTGCCTCAAAATTGCGCAGACTTTTGAAGTTGAGGGATGGATAGTCGAACGAGGGCTTTCTCTTTTCGTCCTCTTCGCCATCTTCGTCGCTGTCTTCAATGGAGAGCTGTCTCGATCGAGTCATAACGCGGTACTTGTGCAGCCAAGGAAGCAATGCATGGACAAAAATCAAGCGCCAACAGGTACCAGCACGTTGCCCAAATCGACTACCATGACGTAGCTGTATCATGAAAGTAAAAACGTGAGCAAAATTGGAACATCTCAATGTACTCATAGATGCTTCTTGTGGATCTTACCTTCATTAGATACACCACTCCGATCTGTTCGATGTACGGATGTCTGTGCGCCTCATGGCTCAAGACATCTTTTAGGTGAATCATTGGGTAACCGTCCAATTCCAGGGCTCCAATGCGGCCAACACCGGGTGCAAGAAATGGAGTATCTATCCGGCCAATGCTCATCCCGGCAGCCAACATCAGTTTGATCATGCTGAGATTTTGGAAACAGAAACAACCAAGAGTGTTCAAACGCACCGTGAGGCACCGATCAAACCACCCTGTGTTTCAATACATTGAAGATGCATCAAATAGTGTTGTGCATAATCCTAACTTACCGGGCAAAGATGAACCCAACACTGAGCGCAAACACGGCCCATTCCAACGCCAAAAAGAGGATGTTGGCAATTCCGGGGCGTTCTCTGTAAAACGATTTGTAGAGTGTGCAACGGCAGATAGACACTAGGAGCAACCGGAATAGAGTCACCGCAATGATACCAATCACAATAGCCAAAAGCCTCTGCGCAAAGTACGCCGTGGCTTGCCACAAAAAGAAGAATATCACTAGACCAACAGTGCCACCCACCACCACACCACTCACAAGGGTACCCCAGAAAATGGATCCCGTCAACATGCAAACTTGGTCTGGTGCTTGTCGATACTTCAAGAACTCTGGATCTCGGAGCGTCGCAATGTGTCCACATCGTAGTTTCAGAATGGTTGTTGCAACACTTGGAATGTAACACAGGGCCAAGTATGCACACGTGAGGAAAGCAACCGCCACTCCGGCAATCATGGGCACCATGAGCATGTACTTTTCACTGCAAACGGCGGCGGAGGAGTACATGAGTGAGTGAGTGACACAGCAAAGCAAGAACAAACCAAAGAGCGCGCGCAACCAATTCTTACGCCGGATATAGACTGTCCACGCTGTCATCTGCCGACTGATACACAGCATCCCGAACCACTTGCTCTAACAGATCAGCGTCAAAACCGGACCCACCGAGCAGGGCTTGCTGGCTAGTGACATTCAAAGTCCCAGCAACAGAAGCATCCAGCAAGGGACAGAGATAGTTGACAGGAGCATCGGGATCACAATAAAGTTGCGCACCGCTGCTGCCTGACAAGTTGAGTGCACCATCGACCAGGCGATTATTGTTGTTGTTGCAATACATGTCAAGGATATCTTCCACGGCCGCCGTGTCATTGCGCATACCGGAACACCCATCGCTCAGCAACGTATCCGCCGTCGAACCTTGTGCCAAGAATCCACTCACCAACGTGGAGACATTGCTCACCAAGGCAGTGGTGACCTCATCCTGATCCGCCAATGTAAACGTCCGTTCCGCAAAGGACCGGAACTGTTGTTTGGCCCATTCGTCATCAAAGTTGGCAATGACCTGTTCGGTCAAGGTGATGCCTCCCAATAACGTGTACACTACCACGACGTACTGACCAATGTTTCCCGCCAAGATTCGCGAATTGATCCAAATGCCGTCCTTGGCAAATGTGGCCCCGCTGATTCGCATCATGCGTTGCCACGCCCACACGAACCCCCCTGCGTCGACATGTTTCTTGCCATTGCGCGCATAGTTGGTCAATGCTTGACCGTAATGCGTTCTTAGGACCGACTCTTGTGGATCTTTGGCGGCCACAATTTCGAGTGCATTCGAGACGAGTTTGGCCACTTTGACGGCTGCGGCTTGTTTGGATTTTTGTTCCGACACGACCGTTCCTTGAATTATTCGGTAGAGGGACGGACAGCACGATTGCAATCTTTGGGGCGAAACCAAAATGGTAATGACATGACTGAGATGCAGCAGTGCGCCCGTGGCTCCCAAGGCAATGGCGGCAATGTAGAGAATCCAACGTTCTTCTTGATCTTTGGGTGCCATCAAAAAGTGGAGAGTGGTCAATCCCGTGAGATACACGGCCCCCATGAGGGGTAACCAGAATCGTTTGCAATGGATCGAGTTTCCAATACTGGCCAATCCGACATAGAGGACACCATTCCAGCACATGGACCAGAATTCGTCGAGCCATCCCAAGATGGAATAGGACATTTCACAAAACATGGCTTCCTTGTTTTCCCTCCAGGGTGCCGTGTAGGAGTACACAAATTGCTTTTCGCCCGTGCATTTGGGATCGTACTGGCGTCCCGCCGAATACGTATAGGCAAAGTAGGTAATGATAAACGCGGACCAAACTACAATGACAAGTGATTTGCTGCGGTAGGTACCGGCGGTGACATCAATGGAGGGAAAGGTCATTTTGCGTTTCAACGTTTCGGGAGGTTGTTCGAGTGCTTGGAGAGCCTTCTTCTTTTGGTCGTTGCTGCTGCTGTATTCATCTTTGTACATCACTTCTCCTTCTTGTCTGGGTGGTGGGTTATCGTTAATGATAACAGCCTCGGTATCACCGTTGGGTCCAAAGACGTCCTCCATGTTGGTGGTGACTCTGGTTTCATTTCGAACGTCGTATAGTTGAATGTCGTAGGTGAGGGCTTGGGCAAAGATCTTTTCCGAGAGCAAGAATTCTTCGGTGCTAGGGGCAGTGTCATGCTCGCATGAAGCGTCCATGAGATGGGTCGCCGAGGTTTCCGTGACATCCATAACATTGCCTTTGGTGGTGGTGTTTTTAGGGGCGTCTTGGTTGCTGGATCCAATGCTAGTAGTAGTGGCCACATTTACCATTTCCTGTACCAGCTGAGTCTCCTCCGCCAAGTCGTTTTCTCCATAGGCAATCAAGATCTTTTGAACCAGTTCGGGAGTCAAGCGTTTGGGTTGGCTGCTACCAGTGACCTATTTAATCAGGAGAGCGAAGCAAGGCAGCTAGCTTGTAAGCAAAGGGTGACTATCATTTCTCCAGGAAGTTACCGGTAGCTACCGTAGCTCCTTATGCTTCGACAGACAGCAGTATCCAACACTTACGTCATGAAGGATCATTTTGAGGACATAGTTGAGCATTTCCTTGGGTGCCGGCACCACTTCTCCCTGGCAGTGCTCGTCGTCGTCCGTGTCATCCTGCTGCGAGCAGACGAGATGCTGTGCCGCCTTTTGAATGGTTGGCAACAGCAGCAGCGCCACCAATTCCATCAAGTCGACCATATCGTCATCATCGTCATCTTCACTGCTGTCACTGGAACTACTGATGAGTCCACGAAGGATGCGAGAGCAGACTTGATCCTCGGTGACGGCAATGCCATAGCGACTCGAGAGAAAGAGACGAATATCCTCCGCACAGATAGATGCGTCCGTGCGAACCTCCCGTTGATCCGTCTGAAACAAAGCACTCACATACTCCAACTCACGAACATCACCCGCTGCTCCGACCAGTTGGGGAAAGCTAGACATCCTGGATGTTGTTTGTTTGATGGCCCTTGGATTGTGGTTGCTTTCGATTCGATTGTGCTGCTGTTTGGAGCAGCATTCAAAGCTGCTGCTCTAGCTAGCCATATCTATAATAACTATTTGATGGTTGATGCTTCGAGTTTTGCAGTTCTCATTGAAGATTGAAGTAGGCAGGTAGGCATACTTGTTCATGACGTTGTATGATTATAGAGAGCTGATAGAGGCACTTGTACCGGTACGGTCCTCCGGCATTCGTTGTCTTGCTCTAAGGTAGGCCTAACGAGACTTATTGGACTATTGCCTTTGATTTATGAAGCATTATGATGTGAGATGAAATGGAGAACGTAAAGAACAATGCGATCAGCGACACCTTACTATTAATTAATAGTACCATACTCTACCAGGTACTGTACAGCCAATTAAAAGAGAAGAAAATACGAAGTGTGTAGAGTACTGTACCAGGAGTGTACCACGTACCATATTAATACCGGTAGGGACACACGCGACTTCGGTTCTATCATATCTTGCACAGGGTACTCTTTGAGGACACTCTGAGACTTATTGAAATATTGCCGATTGATTTCTGAATCAAAAGAGGCAAGAGGCAAGTACAGTAGTATTACTTAGCTGCTTTTAAGTTTTGCTGAAAAGCATATGGCTGAATCTCATAACTGATGTTTAAGTGTGTGTTTTCTTGGTTTTACTTTGAGAGAGATAGGCTTTAATTATCCTGGTCCAAAAGGAGACCCGGTAACTGGTCTTTAACCCATTGAGACACGGACGGTTACCGCGACTGTACTGTTTTTGTTAGAGTAAATCTCGAATCCATGGACCAAATCCTTCCAAAAACTAGTATACAGATAGGCAAAGTAGGCAATGACTAAAGCGGCAATGACAAGTGATCTCCAAGGTTTAATTACCACCTGTTCATCCTCTCCCCTGATGAGGGCGGTGGCAGCCGAATCCAGAGCCTTGGGTTTCTTGTCCGATCCCTCACCCGAAGCGGCGGCTGATCGTTGTCCAAGTCCTAACTTCTCGGCGGCTGGTCGTGGTCCAAGTCCAACCGTCTTGTCGAACCAAATCATCCAACCTTGTTTGGTGTGTTACGTCTCATGGAGACGACGCACCTTTTGGTTACGATACCCCCTCAGTTGCACTCTGAAATCGATTCGCCCGCGTTTACTGTGTAAAAAAGAGTAGCCGCACTTCAGTTGCAGAATCAACGGTCATGTGTATCCATAAGTACGAAACCTGTAGTCAACGGTGTTTAACGTCTGTACACACATTTAGATTGATTCGTGGAATAAAAGAACCATTGAAATTGCTAAGGTTAAGGATAAACCGATAACCGATCGCATCATTGAAGGTACAGCACTGACTTCTCTCCCTCATTGAATTCCTATGGTAAACAGGAGAGAAATACCAGCTTGACCGGCAACAATGCCGTCAACAGGTGAGTTTTTTTATTTATTCGAGTCGAATCGATCGCAATGAGGTAAGCATACAGTATTATCAGAGTGTTATTGAAGGTACAGCGCTGACTTCTCTCCCTCATTGATTTCTATGGTACAGAGAGAATCCAGCTCGGCGTCAACAGGTGAGTTGTTTTTAAAATTATTCGAATCGATCGTCGCACCTCTATTATCTCTACTTGATCAAGCCTCACTCAGCCGGCTGTCTCCGGTGCAGAACAGAAAGCCATCCTCATTGAATCATATGGACGTGGGATGGCAGTCAGTTCTCGGCCCATGACGGCCAAGTTGGTGCAATTTGAAAAACAATGGTAAGTCTCGGTCGTCTGCAGTTGAGCACAGAAAACAAAACTCATATCTATTTGTTGTTTTCTTCTGCTGTACGCTGACGGCCGAGAATTACCATTGTCGCGGTCCAACAACGATTGATCGCTCGAATAACACGAGAAGAAGAGGTTACCGCTACGAAGTATGTTACGGAGGAAACCTGTAAACTCCAGCCCTACCAACAGCAGACGGAATCGTCGTCGTCTTCATTGAAAGGGAACAGGAGCAAGGCTAGCTACTAACAACACACAAGAGAGTGGATCCTCCTACCGGATTCCCCTTCTTGTTATTTCCTACTGTTTTGGTGGTGATTCCTGTGTCGTACCCATTTTCCTGCCTGTATGCGCAAGTCAAGTACTGCTGCCACTAGCTATACGCAGCGGCTACAATGGTGATGACAATATTCGTTGTGCGTGTATTTGTCATAAGGATCTAATCGAGGTAACCGAGTGCAACGAGCAAAGTGAACCTGCTGTGTTCGTTACTGTTGCCATGTCACCGTCGATGAACTCTATGATAGCTGGCTACGATGGCTGGATGACAAGTTCGGTTTTGGCATGTATTCGTCATAAGGATCCAATGCAAAGTAACGGTAACGGAGTGTAGCCAGTAAAGCGGAACCTGTGTGTTCGGTACTGTTGCCACTGTCACGATCGATGTAACTCTACGGTAACTGGCTACATGGCTGGATTGAGATATTCGGTTGTGCATGTATTCGTCATAAGGATCCAGTGCGAGGTACGTAACCGTAGCGAGCAAAGCCAAATTTCGGTACTGTTGCCACTGTCGTTGATGTAGCTATACCGCAGCCGCTACAATGGCTGGATCATAATGTTCGGTTGTGCATGTATTCATAAGGATCCAATCAAGATACCTGCAATGGAGTGTAGCCAGCAAAGCGAACTGAGGTGTGTTCGGTACTGTTGCCGGATGTAACTGTACGGTACGGCTACAATGGCTGGATTAACAATATCGGTTTTATGCATGTATTGTAAGAATGCGAGGTAACCGATGCAACGAGCAAAGTCGAACCGAGTGTGTTCGGTATTTGCCACTGTCACCGATCGATGATCTACGATAGCAGCTACGATGGCTGGATCGACAATCTTTGGTGGCATGTATCGTCATAAGGATTCAATACGAGGTACTTGTACAGTGTAGCAAACAAAGCCGAACCTGAGTGTTCGGTACTGTGCCACTGTCGCCGATGTACTTAGGAGCTGGCTACAATGGTTGATTGACAATATTCGGTTTGTGCATGTATCGTCATAAGGATCCAATGCGAGGTACTGTACCGGAGTGTAGCGACAAAGCGAACCTGATGTGTTCGGTACTGTTGCCTGTCACGATCGATGAACTCTACGATAGCTAGCTACGATGGCTGATCGACATCTTTGGTTGTGCATGTATTCGTCATAAGGATCCAATGGAGTACTTGTACCGGAGTGTAGCGAACAAAGCCGAACCTGAGTGTGTTCGGTACTGTTGCCACTGTCGCCGATGTAACTATACGGCAGCTGGCTACAATGGCTGGATTGACAATATTCGGTTGTGCATGTATTCGTCATAAGGATCTGAGTGAGGGAGCTGGAACTAAGGAATCAGAGACGAACGCTGAAAAAACCCGAATTTCATTGTTTTAAAATTGGCACAGCTTGGAAAAGCTTCGCAGTCGTCAAAGGGATCGGGGGACAACCAAAACAGGAGCGCCAGCAGAAGTCTTCAGGCGACAGCAACAGAAGTCTTCGGACAACTATGCAACAGCGGTCTTCGGGCGATCGACAGCAGACGCACTAGTCGTAGCAGTAGTTGTGATCAGCAATAACAGTCTTCGGTTGATAAACAACAACAGCAACAACAAGACAACGTGTTCCGGGCGACAAGGATTGACTATGGCAAAAACTTCGTGAACAAGCCTTACTGGTAGGAGGTTGTGAAGCTGCATGCACCGGTAGACTAGCACCAGGATATGTATTGTACTGGCACTGGTACTATTAATAGTACTCAACAACAAGTGCTCTTTCGTTTCAGCTACTTAGAAGTACAATACCCGCGGAAAGGTCGGTCGTAAATCGCATATCACTCTATTTTAATAGTTAGGCGATGGACAGGGGGTAGAGAGCACTACATACAGCCTGTGCATATGAACAGGGAGGATGCCCGCAGATTGAGAGCAAGGCCAGCCATTTTTTTGGCCTGAATTCAAAAACTTCCAATTTCCTGTGCAATCGAACAGGATAGCGACGCCTGTTCAATTGCACAGGAAATGGACGGCCTGCCTGTTCATATGTACAGGAGGCTGTGCATATGTACAGGAGCTCGACGTCCTGTTCAAATGCACAGGAATTGTAACGTTTTTTTATCTGGGTAGGCTTTCTCATTACTCAACAGTATAGATCTGCCATTACGTTCAGCATTACAGTCAAGCATGTCCTCTGTGTTCAGTCAAGCTGATGATCAACTCTCCTCTGGAGCGTTCCTCAATCATGCATGACTTTAAATCTGACCCTAATTTAGGGTCGGTTTGGGGGAATCCGTCCCTAAATATAGGGACATTTTTCAAACCCGACCCTAAATGGAAACCCGACCCTAAATTAGGGACGGTTTTTCAGAAACCGTCCCTATTTTTAGGGTCGGTTTCAAAACCCGACCCTAAAGGGAATCCGACCCTAAATCCAACCCTATTTTAGGGTCGGTTTCATGCACGATTGAGGAACGCTCCTGCTATCTCGCAGGCTGAGGTATGGACGTCTCCACCCGTAATCATTCAAGTAGCTAGCTCTCTCAAGATGATGGAGACAGAAAGGAAATCAATCTTCGGTCACAATACTCGCAACCGATCGGAGCCCAACACTGCTATTTTGCACTGGCTCCCAAAGGAATTTTCTACCAATACTGCTGAGTTTCGCACTAAAACGCTTGCACTAAAACGCTTGCACCATATTTTGTCAACGCTTGTCGTGCTTCTGGCTTTGTTGTACGACTCAAGGGTTTCGGGAAATCAAAGATATTGCTGCCTTCAACCAGCATGCAGAAGCACGTCAGATTTCCTTGTCAATTGCACAGGAATCACGTCGATCCTGTACAATTGCACAGGAATCACGTCGACTCCTGTACAATTGCACAGGAATCGCGTCGCCTGCCAGGCCAAAATTTGACTGCAGGCTGGCTCTCTAAAAATCCTGTTCATATGCACAGGCTGTATGTAGTGCTCTCTACCCCCTGTCCTACATTCTACATGTACCGGTACATGTATTAGAGTATAGAGAGTAGCAGTTAGTTATGCATACATTTACATGCAGCAGTCTTGAGGCTTAAATAAGTTTAACGGCGGCTGACTTGACTCGACTCCTTCCCTTCAACTGAAGGGCCTCGGCCTCCCACGCCACAAGGAAGGCCCGGTCATGCGACTGATAGTCCTGGATCCGTCAAAGTCGCGTCAGATCGCTGAAAGTCGTTCATAAAGTCGTGTGCGAGTCGTGTGCGAGTCGTGTGCGAGTCGAACGCGACTTTCATACGACTTTCCTCGATTCTACACAACTCAGTCACCTTGCTTATAGTAATATTGCGTGAATTTAAAAGTCGTGTGAGAAAGTTGCAAGCGACTTTTATGCATCGTTTATGCGACGTTTATGCGAGTTTACATACGACTTTTGATGCGACTTTGATGCTGTGTGCGACTTTATGCCGATTTTTGGCGACTGCTATAGTGGCATGACGGGGCCTTCAAGAGACCATTGACAGTCGGTCCCTCTTTCCCACCGAGCGCCAATCGATGATCTCTGGCGGTGGCTGCTATGCTACTGGTACCACGTACGATGTAGCTAACTAGGCGAAGTGTGGATGGACGTTCAACTTGATCATCCGATCCTGGTTTGGAAAGCAGTGCTGGTTGTTGCAACTCATGGGTAATTTTTTTGTCACCACCAGGAGAGCAGACTGCTGCTACTGTGATCCTCAAGTTGAGTAGCAGCCAACGCGACCTTGATGGTGATAGGGGGTTGCCTCTGCTGGTTCTTGACCAAATGCAACCAGTGACTTGGTTCCTTCGCAGCTGGGATTATTGACTACCGGTATCCCATGCTCTGACAACCCACTCGCTAAGCATGCATCGGAGATCTGCGGGAATAAGCAACGAGTAATCTGTGATTCTGACATGTGTCTAGTTATTACTACTAGCGCTCCGTACTTGTAGACAACATTGAGTAATGAGGACGACGTCCAACTAACCGAAGAGACCGTGCTGCTTGATCTTTGTGTCATCCTCAAAAAGAAGCATTGCAGCATCTGCATGTAATCCCTCCTCCACGGACCGCTTGCTTCGTCCTTCTTTTGCTCGCTCTTGCTCCCTCTTCAGAAGGTCCGTAATCTCGCCCGCTGGGTCGACTTTGTCGGAAAGCACAACAGAATCATATGGTTTCAGCGCTCTCAGCATTTGAGCCAAAGGAGTTGACTCCTCCAAACGAAACTCCAAGAAAGACTTGACCAAGCTAGCACTATATCCTGACAGCATGGTTACTCCTTCCGTATTGAAGTCACTTGGAGAAGATCTGGAGTCTCGTACTAGGTCCCAGAAAACTACACGAGGGACTTTGTAACCGGCCGCTTGGTACTTTTCTTGTAACTGTTCCAGGTCTGTCTTCCAATCTCCATTGGGGGCGAAATCAAAATCCATATCGGAGAAGCAAAAGAGAGTGGACGGCATCAGTTCTTCGGGGAGATTCTCGCTCTGATCCTTCTGAAGAAGCAACACAGATCGCCACTGCAAGAACCAATGCTCTCATGTTGGGTTGTTTTTTTGCTACGTGGAGGGAGTGTTTTATGATCCGCTTGTTCATCCTCGAACGCTTCAATTCTTCCACCTGCGGTTTTCGTGTGAAGTAAATTTTCAGTCTGCAGGCTTACAAGTGATTGGAAGGAGCAACACACGGCAGAAGAAACAGATGACGTTCGGCACGAGACCGTATGAGAAGGGTTGGGCTTCGGTGAAGAGTGACACTAGCTAGGTGAGCTTGGGTTCCTCGTTCCACATCCTTCTGAGATATTTTCCGTGGGGCGTCGAGCTTGGTACCAGGTGTAGCATTTTAATGATTGGATCATTCGGTTGGGGGCTGATTGATGCTCAAGCATGCTTCACGCGCTGACACAGTTCTGGAGCGTTGAATACACGTGAGTGAAGGAGTTGAATCAATTGCTGTACTAATAAGTTTGTTGAAACTGTAGCATACTTCTGTAAGCACCCCCCAATTTCGTTGTTGGACGCCACCCTTTGGTGTCAAGTCGCGTTCTCCTCTGATGCCCTATGTTGCTCTGCCGGCGAAGGCGAAGAATAGAGGTATCGAATGCTGACGGCATCCACCTTGCAACGAGGTCACCCAAGGACATGCCACACAGGAGAAAGCAACGAAGAATGTAGAAGGCGCTTGGAGGGATCATTAGTGAAAGAGGACAGAAAAAGAAAGGAAATGTGAGACGTTCCTGCCGACCAAGCAGTGCGTGATGGTGCGACTGTACCGGTACCGTACAAAAATTGCACTCGGTGAGACGTGGATACATGTAGTTCTGCTTGGGAGTTGTTGGAGTTGAAAAGTGCGACTGGCCCGTCGCCAAAGCCAACTTTAAAACTCCGAGAGAAGAAATGGGGAATGGGGGGCAAAGAGTTATGGGATACAGAACCGGCTACTCAGTAGTCGTTAATTTTACATCAAATGTATTAATGGGGGTTTTAGAGTAGGGAAATTAGCTATGGTTTTAGAGTAGGGAAATTAGCTATGGAAGCCAGCCGGGGCCAGGCTTAAGCAAAGAATAGTCAAAAGTCAGGACTAGGTTCTGTGGGATCAGAGGCAAGAAAGTGAGGACCATTACGGGGGGCAAAGGGTTTAGCTTTGCGGGATCCACGGAGACATAAATGGGTAGCTTTCACAAGGGCAATGGAGATACGGGTCTGCATGAAGAACATCATTTGAGAGTAGGAAAATTGAGTTTTGGAGGCAGTAGCAGAAGCAAGGCGTTGTAAGAGAGTCTTGGCCTGGGGGGCAAGCATGCCATCCACTGAAACAACAAAGGGATGGAAGGAAGCACGATTGGAGTCGCACGCTTCTTTATATTTGGAAATTTTGTCGCGTTCTTGTTGGGTTAAAACTTTGACGGGATCTTTGTTTCGGTAAGAGGCACAGTCCAAATCAGTGATACATGTATCATACTGGTACCGTACCGCACCGGTATGCTTATACATGTAGTAGTACCGGTAGAGCCATGCCAAGTACGGATCATACGTGTATCATACAAGTAAGTAAACGACAATTAGTTTGAGTGGCTGGATCAGACCGCATCTCTAGTTAGGCATTCATTATCTCTCCACTGTCGGCGTGCGACCCCAGAGGAGTTGTATGGTGGGCGGTTGGCTGCTTCTCTGCGTCTGGCTTCTGATCCGTGTCGTTTGGGTTTTTGTCTGCAGCAGCTCCTGGGGTGCTGTTGCGTTTCTTTTTGTAGCATGGAAGGACGACGAAGAAGAAAAACACAAGGACCACCATGACCAGAATGACAATCGCTATAACAATATCACTCAGTTCTTCCTCTTTCGTGCACACTTGACCACCACAATACGTTGTGCTGGACGAACTGCCATATTTGAAACCCTTGATGCGGGCGGCGTCGGCAACACGGAGGACCTCAAAGGAACCCCAAAGGAGGACCAAACGGAGAATGGGGGCGGTGAAAGAAGTGGCCATGGTTTCTTGTTGAAGAGATCGAGATATCCTGTTCAATGTTCTTCGTGATGTGCTTGACTTTTGGTTTTGTGACCACCGCTGGAGGCTTTGTTGCCAGTCTTCTCATGAAAAACATGATTCGATTTCTGTATCGTGGTACGTATCACATGTACCGATGGTGCAATTTCTAAAATTTTGGAAGCATACTTAATGATTAATACAGAGCTGCCTTCACACTGTCGGTAAAATCCCAACGATGGTAGTACTCAGCGATGGATGCCTTGATTCACCCATTGGTCTTGTCAAGACATCGTTTCACATATTGTATGCGAGCAGATGGCACTTGTTGGAGGTAGATTGGCACACGCCTCCATCTCCGTGATTTGGCCCTTGTCACGTAGGGTTCCAAAACACTTTGTGTGGAAAGCAGGAGATAGGTGTCCGTCTTTTCGTCCAAGAGGTAAAGAATTCCATCCTTGCGCAGCGCTCGAAAGGTGGCCACGACGAGTTGTTGGACGGATCCTTGTTGCGAAACAACTTGCATGGCTACTTGATTCAATGGTGCGTGATTGGCCACGGTCCGGTAGATGAATCGCAGATCCATGTTTTCTTGTTGTTGTCGATGATGATGTTCTTGTTCCATTTGCAATAGGACTTGCAAGAGGGCATCTCGGTATTGAAAATTTGGATCGAGGGGTTCCGGAGTGGCTTGACAGTGGCAGTAGAGCAAGGCATCCTTGTAGGGGACGTCACAATGGCAATGCACCCCAAAGACTCTCCACGCCCCCAATGTGTCGTCGGCACTTGGGAATTTTCGTCGATGACACACGTCATTGGCAATTTTGGGTCCCAACCACGTTACTGTGTCATTGGCATTGCGTAGACCGATGGGGTTGTCAGTATTTGTTGCCGGTTGGGTGGCCTGAATACTCTTGATCCAATGGTTGGCTTCCCAATTCAACTCATTGTTATTAGTATTGTTGTTGTCATTGGGTTGTACGAGTGGCTCCATGATGCTGGCATGAATTTCAAACATGCCCTTTCGTAGTTCCACCGGTACAGTTTCCATCATGTTGACGCGGTGACAGTGTTCGCTCACCGACATGCATTCGATCCGTCCCAGTACTCGGACACGGTCTCCCACACTCCACAATGATTGGGTCGACGGATGATGATCTGTAGTAGAAGTAGCCAATGGAGGTAGGGCATAAATGCCTTGATCGGCGTGTAGTGGTCCTCCCCAAAAGATCACATCCACAAGTCCGGTGCCATCGTCCAAGACAAATTTGTGGGAGGAGGCTTCGTAGGCAATAGTGCCGACCAAACAACACTTGGAGACGGGATAGCACTGTTGTTGGTTATTCTGAGTATTGCATCTTTGTAGACAAGGAATCCCATTCACCAGTTGGAGGTGATGGATATCGGCAATATGCATGGAAATATGAGACCAATAACACGGAGACAGACCCACCACGGCAACCTCGGCACCGCAAAACTTGGTGGTTACAACAGCTCTGGCTTCCGAAACAGCGTCCTCAAGATCTTTTTCTGCCTCCATTTTGCCTCTCTTTCATCGGATCGATTGGAGTCTCCCTGTCATGTCTACCACTAGCTCGTGGTGAGAGTATTAGCTTCTGTAACTCATCGTTGGAGCACTGAGGCCATGGCCTTTGGATGGATGGCTTTCTTTGATAGACCTTGTCTTTTTTTGTGAACCTCTTCGGTCGCCGTTTCATTTCCTTCGACTGGAGTTGCACTAGGGTTAGGGTGTACATTGAGGAAAAATGGGTCGTTCCACGGTCCGCGTCGGAGGAACCTGAGAACCCAAATTTCCCGGGTAGTTGCCACCCTTGTGCCCCAACGGTGGGACATCGGGCGCCAGCACCCAACGGCAAAAAAGGGCAGGCGTGAGAGAAAATCAACGACAAAATGTGCAGGCGACAAACCACAAACAAATTTTGCAAAACAAATTCACGTCTGCTGGGGAGTGGACTCACCGGCAACACTTAAATGAACGGCGGGTAAATCGATTGAACGTACCGGTGACCATTGTGGCAATATCCAACCAGTAATCTGAAAGTGTCAAAAAATCGTAGTGAAATAGCGGCATTGTCATTGCCTCATTAGTTGTAGAGGGGAAGAACAAAATTGACATGGGTTCGGTGTTGGAGAAAGATTATGAAAATGGAAGGTAAATTCGCAATGGTTTTGTCGATTTGTACGGGATTCCTGTACAACGACTACCGGATTGTCGCCAATTAACGTTCTTCAACAACAAAACGTACAACAACCGAATCTTTACTTAATAGACCTATTTAGACGATCCTCCTTTGGCGAAGACTGTTGAAGTACAATCTCTACTATTTCACTATAAACGGCGTCACACCCTTAAACACAATACCAGTTCGTGACTACCTCCGACCCTCACCCCAAATTACCGCCTATGTAATCACACTGTTTCACAGGGACCGGAGGTGTCACTTATGTCAAACCCTCTAAATGCAGGATCACAACCGAAAAATCACGTACTATTTTTTCCATACACGTACAAACGAATGCACACTAATTCTCACAGTAGTACCATCACAGGATCAACCAATTTACGATCTTTGTTGGGGGTATCTATCGCAAAAGCGAGAACAAGAGTAGCCAACAGAGAGAACAAGAGGCAACAGAGATATCAAATGACGATACACGTCGCTGCTTCTACAAAAGATAATGAGGTCGCTGATCAACATTCCACTATCATAACAATTACATTTACTATCTAGATCACCATGTAGTCCGACGAAGGGTCACTGACACTGATTTCGCTCACACTGGAGTCCGCCGATAGACTAACATCGTCGCTACTTTCACTGGTGTCGTCTGGATTCCAGTTGTCAGGATCGTCGGTGAATTCTTGGTGGTCCCACAGTCTATCAATATCAGCTGGCCTGTATCGCAGATTTGCTAGGCCCTCCATGAACGAAGCCCACAAATTGTTAGTGTGCTTGCGCCGCCACATGCATTCGTATAGGTACTCCTGTAAATCACTACCTTCTCTCTGACTTTCTGGTACATTCTTTTTCAGCACCCTCCAGTTTCCTTCTATCGTTTGTGTGTGTGTACCATCTTGTGCCACAAACTCGTATTTGTGACATAGCCTTTTGTGCTTGTAGCTGTAGCCCTCCAACTCCTCAATCTTGTTGTATCCTCCATGCATGTCCGTGTGGATTGTGCTTCCTGGTAAGACAAAAGAAGTAATCAGCGGCAGAAGTGTTTCCGCCTTCCTGTTAGGAACAACAGCGAGCGCCATCTTGCGTTCTCCACCCCGTTCCACCATTCCGAATACCCAGTCAGCGTTCACACAACGTCCTCTGTTGTCTTTTCGTTTACCAAATTTTCCTTCATCCATTTCCACAATCCGACCTGGTCCACCGAGCATGTATTGTTCTTTACCAGCCTGTAGGACCATCTCGGTCACCATTCGACGCCAATGCCGGTACCATCGGCTAACTGTCCCCTCCGAAACACCTGTCATCACCGATGATGTTCTAGCTGGTACCTTCATAAGCCATAGGTAGATCAACCACAGAATCTTGTTTTTTTCCAGCCGGCAGTTTTCCATGACACACCCCTTGTTAATCGAGGTTTCAAAAGCGGTTCCTGTTGACTTCCAAGTCCAGTGACATCCACTGTTTTGACAGACAGACGATAGGATCTCTATGAATTCCAGAGGAACTCAGCTGGTAGGTGCACAAGAGCTGGGATGGAGAGCCCTGTTTGGTGGAGATCTCCTTCCACTGGCGCTGGAAAGGCCAGCCCAAGGCTGGCAGCCAATGCTATTCAATCACTGTGGAAGCAATGATTGAACAGCTAATTGCTCAATACCCTGGCACTGGCCATACAGGATCCTGTCTACTGCAGAGCTCTACTTGTGCTGTTGGGTCTGTATCTGGTCAACTACTTCTTCATTACTTCTTTAACTATAAAGGAACACAAACTCTGATTTTGCGTGAAACTCCATCCTCCAGCCATGCAGAATACAGATCCATGCATCTCTTTTGGCTGGTATATACCAGGCTATCTTTCTAGATAGGTCATGGCTGAGGAGCTGCATCATCCTTCTTGCAGAGGAACTCTATGTCCTCTACAGCTTTTCCTATCTTGTCTGATGTGACACAGCTCATTGTACTGAAGGAGTGTACAGATGAAGCAGCGATCTTTCCACCAGATGAGCCAGCACAGCTGCGCCGCACCATATAATATGGCTCCTATGGCATAATCTCATCGCTCCCCACCATTGAGTCATGGATGGGGTGCCAACAGGCTTGCACATCATGGGGCTTCCCTCGATCATTCCATGAACTGGGAGCATTGACTGCTCAGTGTGGACTTTGGTCGCATACCTCAGGGTTACCAACCCTCTTAATACATCAAGGTGTCCATTGCTGAGTACCACTTGACACATTGGGAGGGGCATCACATGGGCTTGTGATCGAACTTCCAGTCGTGTTCAGGAGAGAAGGGTGCATTGGCATTGGTCCATTTGACCGTCAATTGGGATCTCATCGGTCTCCCCATACTTGCATCACAGTCATTGGCTTAGGAGGTTCTGTCTATCTACCCATAAGGGCCAGTGAGAAAAATCTGGGCCATAACTGTTCATCTGGAGCCCTCACCTGGGTAGTTAGGTGACGGATTGTCATCTATGAGGTGGGACTGGTTGTCCTTATCATCAGATATTGCCTAGCTAAAGGCAACACCTCGTAGACGTCTCCTCAAGTTTCCCATCTCCTTACATGGGTTAAAAGAATCCCGTCCAGAGCACGACTAACTTGGTGCTTGCTTGGTTATGACCGGTGCAGGTCCTGTCACATGAAATGGCAGTGGCTCATCCCACAGCCATCAGCTGGGTGGGTGTTGCTCTAGCCCGACGGCTTCACCATTGCTGAGGGTGACACAGTGTAAGTTCTCCCCATCACCGAAAGTGAAGGGAGTGCCATCAGGGGGGGAGGGTGGGAGTCACCAAAACATGTTTCACAAAACATTGTACTTGGAATACTATCCTGGAGATGACAAGTTAGCACAAACACTTGTCATACTGGCCATGTCCTGCGGAAGGTAGCCCTATGAGGTGGCATGCTACCCCGCAGCCATGGCCGGTGGCTGGGTACTGGGCTCAACCAGTGCGACACAAACACTAGTTGCCCCGGAGAAAATCCGCCTTGGTCCTGCACCTGCCCGTGGAGGCTGCAGGCACCGTATTGCCAATCTGGAGGATCTGAGGCGTCCCCGACTGCTGGTCAGCTTCGCTCTTTGGATAACCAGGTCAGACATCCGGGCTTGACGATGGTGTGCTTGCACAAGACTCTCTTGTCAGCGACGGAGAGCTTGTACCAAAGCTGCCGTCCATTGCTGGATAGCTGAGACCAGACATTGTCGGGAAGGCGTGGATATTACACTGCTCCCCATCCCCTGTTCCTGTCTTGCCAATGTCAGCGATGTTGGCTAGACGTGAATCATCTTTCTTCGGTTGATGTCAAGAATGTGGCAGCATTCAGTAGCACCTCCTTGTACCCGTCGTATGTAAACGATGATGATGTCCCTCGCAACATACTCTCTCATGTTCACGTGCAGAAATGTCGTTCAAGGTGGGGCACCGGTGAGGCCCGCTGTAAGAACAGCTTCTGTATTACCATCGGTGAGCCTATCACTGGAGTCTCTTGGCCATCATTGTATCGGTAACAACTGTGTCAAACTTGACAATGAAGTCCACTCGGAACCTTGCTCCTCTGGGCTGTATTGCACACTAGTCCAGCCATGTGAGTGTCTCACATGATCCAGAGAAACTGCTACTGACAAGTGAGCGTCCTGGAAAGCTCAACGAGAATGGCAAAGCAGTCAGAGTCATGGAAGTGGGACTTCACGATTACCTTTCCATTGGTGGTCTGCACTGTCTTCTGGAAAACAGCGTAGAACAATGATTCATTCGTATGAGTTCATCCATGGACTCGGTGTTGCTTGGACGTAGTCGGCATCAAAGATCTTATAAACCCTTGACCTCTAGCCATAGTGATAAAGGATTCATACCACTGTCGTATCCTTGTTGGATTTGAGGGTAGGGTAGGCCGTGGATCCGGCTTGGCACGAAAGGGCTTGCTGGAGGGCCATGTGTTGCCACCTCCACCACCTCTGGGCTTGGAAGACCACCATTGCCATCAGGGGTGGGAATAAGGCTGACTTCCTTCTTGGCTTCTCCGGTTGTTCAGTAGGTTGGCCGACTGGGGGATGGCTGAGTGTACTGGTGTCTTGGATGATGTGGGCCTAATAGGTATGGCTGATAGGCTGCTGAAGACACAGGTTGTGTAGTTGGGTATCTCACTGATAGGGTGTTGGTGGGATGCCGTGATGTGATGGTATGATTGGTGTTGGTGGGGATATATCCTCCCATTGAGGGCCCATACTTGGTGATGGTTCCACCTCCAGAGGGGAAGTGGCAACATCATGGCAACTTTGGGTTGGGATGAATGACCAAGAGGGTCCTCAACATCACCAACAAACTCTGTTCCAAACGGCCTGGTTCTGAATCGGTCCTCCTAGCCTTAATCTCAGGGCTAGGCTTGTGTGATAAACCAGGTGTGCAGGGAGTGGAGTAATAAGGTGGATGGGATGAACCAAGCTGATTGGTATTGTGGCCTTGTGGTGGGGCCAAGGGAGCTTGGTTCATTTGTTTCATTTTCTTCAATGCTATTGCCAGTTGGTGGCTGATCATTGAAAGGGTAACACCATGGTTGGCTGGTGGTGAAGGAGTCACAATGGGAGGCCCTGACTGGTAGGCTACAGGGGGGTCCACAGGTGTCCTTCCATGTGATGGAACTGGATGTGGGGGTCCTGCAGTGGTGGACCTGTTGGTGTTACCAGTGCTATTGCTAGATGCTGTTGGTGTAACACCAATGGCAGACTGGGCCTGTTGTTGTTGCTTCTTCTTGCGAGCCATGATGATGGTTGTTGTTGCGCTGGCTGAGTGTGGTGTGGTGTAGAGGTGTTGTTGTAGTGGCTGGACAAACACTGTCACAAGAAATCCAAAAGTGGTCGTGAAGGCGTGCACTGCTAGTCAATGACTAAACAGAGGCTGCTTGACACACTGGTACCCTTGGATTCTTTCGAAACGGTCGAAAAGGTACTCTCGTGGTGCTCTGAGTTACTCCTGTAACTCACTCGGAAGCAGTTCGCGAATCGATCGAAAATGTGAGGGCGTTGATATCCGTGGCTCGCCGTGCTTTCGGAACGGAGGTACGGTACCGGTTTTGTGAGTACCGTGTGAGTACCGGTTCCCTTTTCACCGCAGCAGCCTCCGGAGGCACGACTGAGATAATCGCTCCGTAAAGAAAAGTCGACAATGATGAACCTGTTGCCTTCCTCTCTCGGCCGCCGTAACCAAGCCGATTAACAAGAAACTGGCTGGACTATCCTCTCAAGCACCCTCAGGTTGGTAGGTGGAACACTTCGTTTCACTCCTACCACTCAGATATCGGTTGAGTTAAGTCGATCGGCGTTTTCGTGTCACGATTTTCTTGTTGGTGAATCTTCCACTCTTTCCGATCACCGATCTTGGTATTCAAGCCTATTAACCGGAGCACTGGCTGGTCTATCTTGTAGATCAGCCTTTATTTGGTAGGTGACCGTCTTGGTTTGAGTTCAATCGGTCGCGATTCCAGTTTTCGGTCGTCGATCTGGTTGGCAGTTCAATCGGTTGATCGGCAACTCCTCCTCTCTTTGTCCTCGACGATTTCCACACCTAATAGCCACTCTTGTGTGCTTGCGACAAGTTAATCCTATGAATTCCAGAGGAACTCAGCTGGTAGGTGCACAAGAGCTGGGATGGAGAGCCCTGTTTGGTGGAGATCTCCTTCCACTGGCGCTGGAAAGGCCAGCCCAAGGCTGGCAGCCAATGCTATTCAATCACTGTGGAAGCAATGATTGAACAGTCTAATTGCTCAATACCCTGGCACTGGCCATACAGGATCCTGTCTACTGCAGAGCTCTACTTGTGCTGTTGGGTCTGTATCTGGTCAACTACTTCTTCATTACTTCTTTAAACTATAATATGAACACAAACTCTGATTTTGCGTGAAACTCCATCCTCCAGCCATGCAGGATACAGATCCATGCATCTCTTTTGGCTGGTATATACCAGGCTATCTTTCTAGATAGGTCATGGCTGAGGAGCTGCATCATCCTTCCTTGCAGAGGAACTCTATGTCCTCTACAGCTGTTCCTATCTTGTCTGATGGTGACACAGCTCATTGTACTGAAAGAGTGTACAGATGCAGCAGCGATCTTTCCACCAGACTGAGCCAGCACAGCTGCGCCGCACCCATAATATGGCTCCTATGGCATAATCTCATCGGATCTCATTTGTGTTGTCGTCCCTGTAATAAGCCACCTGGTCCCCACACTTATCACACTTGG